GGGAGTCATGAACATACAGTGGTGAGAGGGTTTGTGAAAACCTTACCACATATTCCTACCCTGAAAGTTTTAAGATCTTTATCTTAGACCAAAAAACCCCACAAAAAACCCAAACAACAACAGATAGGTTGATTTTAAAAATGACACACAAGCATGACGTGTTTGCAACATGTATTAATCCACAACCAATTCAGCAGTCAATATCAAGTTGTGGAAAAGAATGTCAACCTTTCGATCCAGTATCTGGTGAAATCCTTCTTGAACAGTGATGTCCTGAAACAGTTGATCAGTCTTTCCTATATTGGTTGGATATTTCCCATTCCTTATTACAGAACTGCTTCAACTCAATGAGGTTTGAAGACTTTGTATGAATGCCTTATGTTAGTTCATACTTGGATTGTTGTGTGCCTTCGAGTGATTTCTGACTTATTCCAGTAATCAAATTTCGGCATATCAGGTATATGTGCCAAGTTTGGTCCAGATCCATTAGTGTTTAAGTTCACAGTGCTCTCTGGATGTAGGTAAACTAGAACTCCCCCAAATCAAGGTGAATTTTCCCCAAAGACCTCCAGGTTTTGTTCTTTTTTTGTTTTGTTTTTTGTTTTGTTTTTTTTTTGTTTGATTTTTTGTTTTTTGCTGGTCATGGGGGCTCTGTGTGCCAAGTTTGGTCTTATTCCATCTTTGCTTGAGTTCAGAGGGCTCATTGATTGCAGGTGAACTATAAATCCCAGTACCCACAATTCCAAAATGTCCAGGCCACTTCTTCGTAAAACCCACCAGTATTCAAATTTCGGCATATCAGGTATGCATGCCAAGTTTGGTCCAGATCCATTATTGTTTGGGTTCATAGTGTGCTCTGGATGAACTACAACTCCTATAAATTCCTCCAAATACCTCCAGTGTGTTTTGTTAGTCATAGGTGGTTCTGTGTGCCAAATCAGTTCCAGGTCCATTGTTGGTGGAGTTCAGAATGCTCTGAGTTGGTAGGTAAACCATACTTCCCAGTATCTACAACTCCTATAGATCGTGGTGAATTCTCCCCAAACACCTCTAGTATGTTCAGTTGCTGATCAATTCCTCTGTTTGCTGTGTGCCATAGAAAAGAATAGGAAAGGGTTAAGGGAGAGCCAGCGGGTGGGGTCATGCAAATTCCACACCAATGAAGAGTGTAAGAAACACTGTGATGTTTGTGGTGGAGGAAACACATAAAATCTAGGATGTAATTGTCCCCTCATGAAAGCCTTCACTTGGGTGGTGGGCAGTGTTGTATTTTAGGGGGCACTGGCAGGGCTCTTGGACATGTTTAAAGCTATCTGTAACCTACAATGTCATTGAAGGAGGGCCACTGGAGTTTCCTGTGTAGCTATTTGTGGAAGTGGAAGCTTGTCTGTGTAAGTGGACAGACACTCCAGCCATACACACACACATATATATTCGCTTTTATTATGTGGATAGATATAGATAGATAGATAGATAAATGTAACTCGTGAGGCTTTATTTTGACTGTGCACATATTGCTTTTTTCCCTTTTATAAAAGTCAACCTTATGTTTTTCCCTACAAAGAAAGCCTACACAATTAAACCCATGCACAGATAAATATACTAGGGTGTTCGCACAGTTCATAATGAATGCAGTTTGATGCTTTAACCCAGTGTTTCTCAACCTGGGGCTCAGGACCTTGGGGGGGGGGGGGGTGGGGTTTCAGAGGGGTTGCCAAAGACCATCAGAAAACACAGTATTTTTCTGTTGGTCATGGGAGTTCTGTGTGGAAGCTTGGCCCATTCTGTATGGCAGGCATGTAGCGGGGGGGGGGGGGGCTTGAGGGGCTTCAGCCTCCCCCCCCGAAATTCTCAGGTGGTTCGCGAAAAGGCCTTACTGGTGCATTATTTAAACTGTTATGTTTATTCATATCATGATCTGATCACCATACTCAATATATGCCATATGCATGGGGGTATTGGGGTAATGATACAAAAGGTTTGCTAGGCTAGACCCTCTTTCACTCAGACTCAGCCCCCCCCCGAACCCCCCCTAAAAAATCCCCCCCCCCGAAACTCAGCCCCCCCCGAACCCCCCCCCTCCTGAAAAAAATTTAGCCCCTCCGAAACGAAATCCTGGCTACGGGCCTGTGGGGTTCAGAATGCTATTTGATTATCGGTGAACTATAAATCCCAGCAACTACAACTTCCAAATGACAAAATCATTTTTTTTTAGTGAAGGTCATACATTGGGTTATTAGGTGTCTTGTGTCCAATTTTGGTGTCAATTCATCCAGTGGTTTTTGAATTCTGTTAATCCCACAAACGAACATTACATTTTTATTTATATAGAAAAGATAGATGATATTACATGTAATATAAAATATATAATTATATTTTATATTACATGTAATTATAATTATACTATATATTTATTATTAGTAGTATTATATTGTATTACATTAGACACATCCATGGAGTCTTAGCATTGAGGGAAAACAAATGACTGCATGCCTGCTACTCTTTTTTGCAAGCAGGACGCAGCATATCCTTGTGTACAAGTAAGAGAAGCAGGGGAGAGGCATTCTCCTGAAGTCCCCTCTCCATTGACAAGGCCTGTGCGCATGCGTGGCTGCGTGATGGAGCGAATGTGCCGCGGCTGCTTCTCCGGAACTCCAACGCGTTGGCTTTACTCCGAAGTCGCTCCTGGTCGGAAGTTCCCTTTTGGAGAGCTCCAGGGAGGGCAGGCAGGTTGAGCCTACTTTAAGTGCCACGGCTGTACCCTATGGAAGCCTGGGATCTGTCCGTTGCCTGAAAGGGCTGGTGCCTCCCCACACTAGAAACCCAAAAGCCAATGCCATTCTAGGCTGCCTCAAGAGGAGTCCAGTGTCAAGATCCAGGGAAGCCATAGCCCCACCCTATTGGTCACAAAGCCCCCGGTGGCGCAGTGGGTTAAACCCTTGTGCCACCAGGACTGAAGACCAACAGGGCGGAGGTTCGAATCTGGGGAGAGCCCGGGTGAGCTCCCTCTGTCAGCTCCAGCTCCCCATGCGGGAACATGAGAGAAGCCTTCCAGAAGGATGGTAAAACATCAGAAACATCCGGGCGTTCCCTGGGCAGACGGCCAATTCTCTCACTCCAGAAGCGAGTTGCTGTTTCCTGACACGAAAAAAAAACCTCACCTGGAATAAGACTGTGTCCATTTCTGGGCACTTCAGGATATTGGCAGGGAAAGGTGACCAAAATGAGCAAAGGTCCGAAAGCCAAGCCCAATGAGGAGTAGTTTAGGGAGCTGGGTGTGTTTAGCTTGCAGGAGAGAAGGCCGAGGGAAGGGGACATGGCAGCCCCCTTGGAATCCGTGAAAGGGTGCCGCATTGGGGAGACTAGGACACACTGGAGGAATGGATCCAAATCGCAGGAAAGGAGATTCCGTGTAAACATTAGGAAGAACTTTAGGAAGAACTACACTGCCTAGGAGTCGCCTTCTCTGGAGGTTTTCAAGCAAAGGCTGGGTGGCCATTTGTCGGGAGTGCTTTTATTGTGCTTTCCTCGCGTGTCAGGAGGTTGGACTGGATGGCCATCTGCAGGGAGTGCTTTGAATGCGATTTTCCTGTTTCTCGGTAGAGGTTTGGATCGGGTGGCCCATGAGGTCTCTTCCAACTCTATGATTCTATGATTCTGCTTTCCTTGCATGTCAAAGGGTTGGGCTGGATGTCCATCTGTCAGTGGTGCTTTCCCTGCGTGTCAGGGTGTTGAACGTTATGGCCATCCGCCGGGAGTACTTTGATTGTGCTTTCCCTGCGTGTCAGGATGTTAGACTAGATGTCCATCTTCAGGGAGTTCTTTGATTGTGGAAGACACCTTATGGGCCATCCAGGCCAACCCCCTGCCAAGAAGCAGGAATATTGCATTCAAAGCACCCCTGACAGATGGCCATCCAGCCTCTGTTTAAACGCTTCCAAAGAAGGAGCCTCCATCACACTCCGGGGCAGAGAGTTCCCTGCATGTCAGGAGGTTAGACCGGATGGCTATCTGCCGGGTGTGCTTTGATTGTGCCTTCCCCGCATGTCAGGGGGTTGAACTTAATGGCCATCCACCGGGAGTGTTTTGATTGTGCTTTCCCTGCACGTTGGGAGGTTAGACTGGATGTCCATCTGTAGAGAGTGCTTTGATTGTGCTTTCCTTGCATGTCAGGAGGTTAGACTGGATGGCTATCTGACGAGGGTGCTTCGATTGTGTCTTCCCTGCGTGTCAGGGGGTTGAACTTTATGGCCATCCACCGGGAGTGCTTTGATTGTGCTTTCCCTGCATGTTGGGAGGTTAGACTGGATGTCTATCTGCCGGGAGTACTTTGATTGTGCTTTCCCTGTCTGTTAGGGGGTTGAACTATATGACCATCTGCCGGGAGTGCTTTGTGCCTTTCCTGCATGTCAGGAGGTTAGACTGGATGTCTATCTGCCGGGAGTACTTTGATTGTGCTTTCCCGGTCTGTTAGGGGGCTGAACTTTATGACCATCTACCGGGAGTGCTTTGATTGTGCCTTCCCTGCATGTCAGAAGGTTGTAGTGGATGCCCATCTGTCGGGAGTGCTTAGACAGTCCCTTTCGCTGCATGTCAGGAAGTTGGGCTGGATGGTCCTTTGTGGGAGGCGCCTTGAATGTGCTGCATGCTAAGGGGTCAGACTGGATGGCCCTGGGGGGGGGGTGTCTTCCAAGTCGAGGGTCCTCCYTGGAGTTTGGCCAGGGCTTTCTTCATGCGATGGGATAAGGTGAGCAGCTGCAGTGGGGCCAGGCCTTCCTCCTCCTCCTCCTCCTCCTCCTCCTCCGGGGCCCTCCCAGGGCAGCCCTGGGTCACGTTTGCAGAGGCGGCGGCAGGGAAGCTCCTGGCCACAGCGGAGGGAGGGAGGGAGGGAGGCCGGAGCGTTGTCCGACACGTGAGGCTCATGTGATGAGGAGGGAGGCGGGGAGGGACGGAGGGGGGGCAGAGGAAGGGAGAAGAGGCAGGCCCGCTCCTCCTCCTCCTCTCCCTCTCTCCCTCCCTCCCTCCCCCTCCGGCTTCAGAAGCAGCCGCGGCCAGACGTGCCTGAAGTCAGTCACGGGGCGGATCGGATCGCTCTGTCCTCCGTCCGCACCAAAGGAGGAGAAGGAGGCGCTGCAGAGACGCGCCGCAAAGGCTCTCCCACCTGAAGCACAGACAGAACTCGCCTCTCCTTTTGACCCAGAGAGAGAGAGAGAGAGAGAGAGAGGAGAACCACCAGAGGAGAAAGTCCTGTTAGGAAAAAAAGGAAAGCCGACTCAGAGAGGGAGAGAGAGACCCAAAGCGGGATCTTGGAGACTTCGGCTCCATCCTTAGAGGAAAACAGCTCACCGGTTACCAAAGAAGCGCAAAGGGTCTAGGAGGGAGAAGGATAGAAAGGAAGAAGAGACAACCTTAAGAAGAGGAAGGAGAAGCCACCCAGTTGGCCATGGAAAGGATCCCCAGCGCCCAACCTCCTCCTCCTCCAGCACCGCCTTGCTTGGGCAAGCTGGCCACGTTGGAGGGCAACGAGATGCCAGGGTAAGCTCTCTATCTATCTATCTATCTATCTATCTATCTATCTATCTATCTATCTATCTATCTATCTATCTATCTGTGTGGGATTGAAATCGCTTTCCAACCAGGTTCCTCTTGGGTTGGGATGGTGCTTCCCTTGGCTACCTCTGCTCTCACTTTCTGCACCTGGGACAAGCAGTAGACCTCTCAATTTCCTCTCCCTTGTTTTCCTTCTCTCCAAACTTTTCTCTAGCTAAGCCCTCTTTCTTCTCTATTGTGTCTACGCTTTAGAGTTAATGCAGTTTAGCACCACTTTGACCTGCCCAGGTCTCAATGCTATGGAGGTGGCAGTACAACTCCAGCACCCTTTATTCCAGCGCACTGAGCCAAGTGGCGTTGAACTGCATTCATCTGAACTGCATTCATTCCGCAGTGTAGATGCTACTTCTGTAGGTTTTGGAGAGGGATGGGGAGGATTGACTACCTTCTGGGACGATTCTTGCAAGTCATTTACATCTTTCTCCTTTTGGGTCATCAACAGGTTGGACTTTGCTCACATGTACCAAGTTTATAAACCCCGGAGAGGGTTAAAAAGAGGTGAAGACAGCAAGGTAAATACAGAACATTCGTAGCACTTTTCTTATTTATTTATTTATTATTTACTGACTAGTATTTTCTTAGCGTCTTCAGTGAATAGTTTTCACCCAATGTGTTGTTGAAGGATTTCACATCTGGAATCATTGAATTGTTGAGAGTTTTCCAGGCTATATGGCCGTGTTCCAGAAGCATTCTCTCCCGACGTTTCGCCTGCATCTATGGCAGTCATCCTCAGAGGTTGAGACCCCTCAACCTTTGAGGAAGCCTGCCATAGATGTGGGAAAAACGTCAGGAGAGAATGATTCTGGAACACAGCCATGCAGCCCAGAAAACTCAACAGCAACTCAATTTTGACCCAGTTTCGTTCTGAGATTAAGTAATGGTCTTCCCAAACATATACAAAAGAGCATTCATTTTCAATGGCCCCTCATAATTTGTTTTTGGAGACTCTATTTGTGGGGTGGAGGGTATTCATTTTTCCAAAAAAGTTATTATGATCATGGATTTGCCTTATCATGCAGCAAAACAATATCTTCATATGTTGTCAAAGGCTTTCATGGCTGGAATCACTGGGTTGCTGTAAGTTTTCCGGGCTGTATGGCTATTTTCCAGGAGCATTCTCTCCTGACATTTCACCCACATCTATGGCAGGCATCCTCAGATGTTCTGTGGTTTGTCAAAGACAAGGCAAGCAAGGTTTTTATATCTCTGGAATAGCATCCAGGGTAGGAGAAAGAACTCTTGTCTGTTTGAGGCAAGATGAGGCATGTTGCAATTGATCACTCTGATTAGCATTGAATAGCCTTGCAGCTTCAAAGCTTGGCTGCTTCCTACCTGGGGGAATCCTTTGTTGTGAGGTGATTAATTGCCCCTGATTGATTCTTGTCTGGAATTCCCCTGTTTTTGAGTGTTGATCCCCAGGCAGCAATCAGCCAGGCTTTGAAGCTACAAGGCTTTTCAGTGCTAATCAAGGTGGCCAATTGCAACATTCACACTTGCCTCAAACGACAAGAATTCTTTCTCCCACCCTGGACGTTATTCCACAGATATAAACCTGACTTTCTTAGTTTTCAATAGATTTCTCAACCTCTGAAAATTCCTGCCATAGATGTGGGCAAAATGTCAGGAGAGAATGCTTCTGGAACATGGCCATACAGCCCAGGAAACTCACTTCATAGTTGCATCAGATAATTTTCTGGAGATGATCAAAATACATCATCTGCAATAAACTTTGGGTTTGGTAATGCTGTTTTTTAAAAAACAAAAAAATGATCTAAGAAAATGTTTATAATTTTTTCCAATCTATTTGGACAGAAAATACTGTGCTCAGAAATCACTTTTCCTCTCAACTGATGAAATGGTTGTATAATTTTTTGGTACCTGTTGATTTTTAGGAGACCTACAAGTTACCCCACCGGCTGATCGAAAAGAAAAGACGAGATCGGATTAATGAATGCATTGCCCAGCTGAAAGATCTGTTACCAGAACATCTCAAACTTACAGTAAGTGAAAATCTGGCCACTGCCCAGAGACTTCTTCCTTCTGCGTTGGGCATTGGGTTGGCTTTGCAGGGCTTTTTGTGCAGGTAAAGTTGCCATCTAGAGGTTTCCTGAAGCAGTGCAGGTGTGAACGGGGAGAGAGAGTTGTCTTGTCTCGGGTTGGATTGCTTCCTTGAGCTTCCTGATAGGACTTGGTTTTGTTGCTAAGTTCATGAACCTCTGGATCGGATTGGATTTGAAGATGCAACAGGATAAGTCAAATGATTTGTTAGGGAGAGTGCATTTTGGTTTTTCTTCCCTGTTTTCCTGGTGGCAAACTTTTAAGTTAACAAAAGATTCATTTGCAGTGTAAAATTAAGGCAATCTGGCTACCAACACTGCAAAACTCTAAAATCAGGACAGTAAATAAAGAATAACACTAAAAAACAGGGGAATTCCAGACAAGAAACAATCAGGGCCAGCTAATCACCTCCCAACAAAGGATTCCCCCAGGCAGGAACCATCCAAGCTTTGAAGTTGCAAGGCTATTCAATGCTAATTAAGGTGGCCAATTGCAACACTCACACTTGCCTCAAGCAGACAAGAGTTCTTTCTCTCACCATGGACTTTCCACAGATATATAAACCCAATTTTCATAGTTTCCAACAAACCTCACAACCTCTGAGGATGCCTGCCATAGATGTGGGTGAAACGTCAGGAGAGAATGCTTCTGTAACATGGCCATACAGCCCGGAAAATTCACAGCAACCCACTTAATGCAGTTTGACACCACTGTAACTGCCATGGCTTAGTGTTATGGAATACTAAGAGTGTAGTTTGGGGAGGTGCTAGCACTCTTTGGCAGAGAACGCTAAAGACTTTGTAAAAATAAAATTCCCACAATTCCATTTCATTGAGCCACTGAAGTTGTAGTGATGTCAAACTGTATTAATTCTACAGTGCAGATTGTCCCTTAAAAGGTCCAGTCCACTTGGATATAGTGCTGTGAACTTATCAATAGAAAGGACTGAATTTGTGTGTGTGTGTGTGTGTGTATAATGTGGTTATCCATATAATGTAGTTGCCTGAGTTCAGGAAGCAGGCTTCCTGAATTACTCTGTTTTGTGTTGGACTTCTGCCAACAGAGATAGCCAAAACTGATATGTAAAACATGGGCTTCCTTCTGTCCTTTTTAAATAGAGCTAAATATTCTTAGCACTTGAGTTGACAGTTGCTCTTTCCTTTTATGTGCTCTCTTCACAAAAATGCCAGATACATGGATATAAATAGCTAGGTTGAAAAAAAAAACAAACAGAGAAGGTCAGGTTTAGTTTAGTTTATTTTTATTTATTTTTTATCTTGCTTTCCTCCCGGTAAAAGGACTCAAGGCAGCTCACAATAAATGGTAATAAAAGCAATATAAATGTGTTAAATTGAATGCTAGAATTCTAGTTACTCCTGTTTCTGTCCTTTTTGATCTTTCCCTGAGCATTTTGTACTGTTGTGTTTGGGTTCCTTTGGCTGAGACTTGACTTGAGCCATTTTCTCTTCCTCCACAGACATTAGGACATTTGGAAAAAGCCGTTGTTCTTGAACTTACCTTGAAGCATGTTAAAGCACTAACCAGCCGCATTGAGCAACAGCAGCAACAGATTCTTGCTCTCCAGAAAGGTTTACATGCTGGTGAGTTTGTGCTAATACTCTTCAACAGGGAACTTTGTGATTATTCTGGCAACCCTTATTTTAGAAAAAAGATCATTTGGTTTTAGTGGGATCTCCTCTGGGTTCAGAGATTTTTGAAGGGTATTTCAAACCTTCACATTGCCCTTTCAGCATGATACACAATTAGCTCTTTATTTGAAACGTGACTGCATTTTTTAAAGGTTGGATTGCCAGCTCTTATATTACCTTTAGGTCAAGAGAAGGATTTCTGTCCAGCATGGTTTTCTTGTAGGCAAAAGCTTGGGGTAGCTTCTCTAGCATTTAATTATCCATACCTCCCCTTCCCTCCTTCCTTGAAGTCCTCCACAGAGCTTGCATTGTCAGCTAACCCTTAACACTGTGACTCCACATTCTAGTTATTAATCGATCTAGGTATTAATGGGAGATGATGGTGATACTATTTATATTTAACTAATTAATATCTAACCATGAGTATCATTGTAGCAGTTCATCTTATGCAGTGGTTCTCAACCTGGGGGCCTCCAGATATTTTGGCCTTCAATTCCCAGAAATTATAATTGATGGTAAACTGGCTGGGATTTCTGGGAGTTGTAGGCCAAAACATCTGGGGACCCACAGGTTGAGACCACTGATCTGATGGGTCACAGCTTCCCTAGTCCTACTTTGATATTTAACTCACCCCAAATGTCCAGCTTCTTTGACAACTCAGCACTGACTATTCCACACATTATTACCACATTGCCTACTATCCGGATCTTTTGGTCAGCATTTCTGGTGGCAGATTACAAAATTTAAAGCAAGTATGCACAACATTAGGTCCTCCAGATGTTTTCCCCTGAACCCCCTCACCATGGCTCAAACTAATGGAAGTTGCAGATAGCTATTCTTGCTTTAAGGAGACAGACCACATAATAGCAGTGATTTGCACTGACAGCACTCCTAGATGTGACAGCTTCCAGCAAGGGGTGTCACATGGTGTTGTTTGCTAAGGAGGTTCCACGGGGTCTGCAGAGTGATCCAGCGTGATAAGTAATTGCTATCATTGTCACAAAAACAGCTAGAATTGCCTGCCAAGGGAATCTGGGAGCAAGTGATGTGACTTCCACTTAGACCAGTGGTTCTCAACCTGTGGGTCCCCAGATATTTTGGTCTACAAATCCAGAAATCCCAGCCAGTTTACCAGTTGGGATTTCTGGGAGTTGAAGGCCAAAACATCTGGGGACCCACAGGTTGAGAACCACTGCCTTAGACCATCTTTCCTGCACTTAAAGTAGACTTAGTCCCTTTGAAATCTGGAGTTCAAGTTTTGTGGGCACCCCAGTTTGCAGTTACCAAAGACAAGTGACCAAGTTCTAAAGGAGGATCCTAGCATGAGTTTATTTTTATCTCATGGCTACCAATCTCACTTGATTCTTTCTTGGTCCTAATAAGTGCTATTGTTTACATTTGTTCATTGGATTTCCAATCCTCCTTTTAAAAATGAGCAGAGGTGGACAAAGTGCAGCTGTCTTGTTGGACTGCATATCTCAACACTCCTCGCCTTTGGTTATGCTGAAAAAGACTGATTGGAGTTGTGGTCTCATATTGTCAGATTAGAAGTTAAAATTCCATCCTCAGAGGTTGAGGGGTCTGTTGAAAACCAATAGGCCCCTCAACATTTCCAACATATGCCTCAACCCCTGAGGATGCCTGCTATAAATGTGGGCAAAATGTCAGGAGAGAATGCTTCTAGAACATGGCCATACAGTCAAGAAAACTCACAGCAACACAATAGATATTTTCAGAGAAACCTACATTTCAACTTTACAGGTTCAAGAAGTCAGTCATCTTTCTCCAGATCATGTCCCCATAGTGTTGTTTTCACAAAATCTTAGGTTGTAACACCATGCCTCCTAGAGTTACCTGCAATGGGAAGAGATGAAATGGGCTACTTCTGAATAGCTATCTGTAGGATTGTACAGCTGAGAGCCAGCTGGTGTTTATAATGGCTTTTGGACTAACAAGTTTTCGTTGGTAAACATTTTTGGGAATGCATATGCAAGGTATCTTCCTATCCCCACCCCTCCTGAAAATTATCCTAATTGCTGTTTAAATCTTGTATTGAACTTTCCCAATACATCCCGCTTTTAACTTCCTTCTGTTGGTGTTTCCTCAGATGAGCTGCCACCTAGGAGCCTTGATTCTAGCCAGGAGGTGTTTCGATCTGGTTTCCAGATGTGTGCCAAAGAAGTGCTGCAATACGTGGCCAAACATGAGAATGCCAAGGAACTGAAATCTTCCCAGCTCATAAGCCACCTACACAGAGTGGCCTCCGAGGTTTTGCAGGTTGGCGTTGGCAGAAAGCCAGGAGACGCTGCTCCCAGACCCACGGACCTGAAGGAAAAGTCTGGCTCTCTGACCAAAACTGCTGAAGCTCATGGAAAAAATTGTGTGCCTGTGATTCAGAGGACTTTTGCCCACTCCAGTGGTGAGCAGAGTGGTAGTGACACAGATACAGACAGTGGATATGGGGGAGAACTAGAAAAAAATGACTCCAAATCCGATGCGCAGTATTTTAAGAAGGACTCTGACCTCAAGTATGGTGTCCAAGAGAGAATCGGTTCTATCAAGCAAGAGAGTGAGGACCCACCTGCCAAAAGGACCAGGATAGAAATGTCAGAGGATGAAGACCACTTTAGCAGTGATATGCTGGGCTCTCCTTCTAGCAGTTTCTTGGGTCCTCATCCCCACCAGCCACCTCTGTGCCTGCCTTTCTATTTGATTCCTCCCTCAGCAACAGCCTATCTACCTATGCTGGAAAAGTGTTGGTACCCAGCCTCCGTACCGATCTTGTATCCCAGCCTCCCAACTTCCAGTGCAGCACTTTCAGGGCTAATGAGCCCAGAGAAAATGCCGTCTCCTTTACTAATGCCTCAGCGGCTCCCTTCTCCAGTCCCATCTCATTCCCCCATGGACTCTACTGCTCTGCTTCAAGCTTTGAAGCAGATGGCTCCTTTGAATTTGGAAACCAAAGACTAAACATGAAGTGACTTTCTCTTGAGATGTTCTTTTTTTCTTCCTACTTGGTTGAGTGTGAGGTTATTTCAGGGTCTCTCCCAACATCTTCAAACTGGCTGAATTGAGAAGTAGGGAAGATCATTGGTTATATATGTCTGGGGAATCCATGTCCTCCTTCACTTTGGCTTTCCAAGAAATTTAGGAAAGCCCTCAAAATTTCACCCAAGGTAGGGGAACTAAAGAGAGGTTTGGGGGAGGGGGGTAATTTAATATTTTTGAAGTGCTTTGTACTTTTTACCATCTACAGTATGACACCTGACTTAGGAAGTTGGCTAGGAATATGTTTAAATGAAAACGAGGCAGACTTACCGTCTGTGAGAATAAAAGCATGGTACTTCTGATGATTTTTCAGCGTAATGCCTAGAGAGCCAAGAGAGTGAGTCAAAGAATTTGGCTTCCCCATCTTGCTGCTGCCAATATTTGAGATCTCTGACTGAAAATATACACAGAGATTTGCATACACACAAACACGCAGATTTCTAGCTAGCTATTGAAGTATTGGCAAATAACTGTGCCGTCACAGGTTGGTAAAGCACTGTAAATAATTTGGGGATCTTGGTTTCTCATCTTGTTTCTACTGATTGCACATAGAGTTACTTTTTAAATGCTGCCTAGAAATTAAATGTAGCTTGAGCTGCTAGGTAGAGATTTGGTATGGGCATTCTATGGCTATGGCCCATGCTTCCCTGTCCCTCACATTGGACATTGCTTCTCAAAGCTGCTAGAGATGAAGTTCTTCTGGGGAAATTGGAATGTCTAAAGAGACAAGTCCAGGCCTGGGCGAGACAGCAGACTTGACTACTGCAAGATAGTATCAGATGGAATGGCTCTCCACTGGCTTTTTGTTTCCTGTTGTTGCTGTCTCTGAAGACAACTCAGCCTGATGTCTGTTATGTAAGAGTCTCATATCCAAGTTGTGTGCAGTGTTCTTCTTCCGAATACTCCTGCAATCTGCTGTCTCAACTAAACAGCAGAATATTTGTTACAATTGACACAGTGAAGATTTTAGACAGGTCTTATAGAGCCAGTGGCAGCTCATAGCAAGACTAAGGAAGTACCTGAAGCCAATGAATGCTAGGGAATCCCAGACAACCCCTGATTTTCTCTTCTTTGCCTGAAGCTCAAGAGTGTGGATCACGTAGCACTTCCACACCACCAAAGCAGGAGGTAGTGGCAAAGGCTGGGTATAGCAGGCCCGGGAGGACACCCAAATACTCAAAATAACACTCCCAACTTTGATAAACCTCATTTCTGGTTGAAACTCAAGCACTTTCCCCTTAAAAATAGAGACAGGAAAGCTGAGCTTGTATCTTCTTTTCATGATCCCCTGCTGAGGCTGGTCCCTGAAGATTAAGGATTGACATGGAGGCTGTGCAAGCAATATTTTCTCAGTGAGAGGGAAATGTGTCTCTTTGCTAGTTGACAATGCTACAGTCGTCCCTTTATGGGCTCCCATTACGGAGATCAGAGCTGTTGTTTTGGCGAATCATAATCCTGCAATGAAATATTAAAAACCCCTGTGGCCTGAGGGTCCAGCATGGTTGGTGGAGTTTGCCCAACTGAGTGCCAGATTTCACTTGACAGTGAAGGGGTGCCCTTCTTTCCACGAGACATTTTCTGTTGGATGATTATACACCAAAGCACCAAGAAACCTAAGCAGCCATCATCTGGAAGAACCCTCCATATCTACCCTAGACTTGACACATAACACAGCATCCGATTTGGGCTGCTTAAAAATCCATGTCAAATGGTGGTGTCATCTTGTAGTTTTGAAAAATCCATACAACTGTCCTATGATCAATCTTTGCGCTATTGCACCAACTCTTAGAATGCACTATGCTCAATTGCAGATTGTGTTTGACCATTTATTTTATTGCTGGTTTTGAAAGATATTTTTTGTACACAGTTGTTGCCTTTATTTGTAATATCTGTTTTAATTATAAATGTGTACATATAAATATATGGATATGTAAAATAAACTGTTTCAGAAGTCTATTGTTTGTAAAACTACTTGAGTACAAAGAAAGTGGGAAATATGAATGTATTCCTGTTTCTTTTTAACGAGGAGAAGAATTTGTTCTTCCTCTAGGGAGAAGTAAAGTGTCTATATTTTTGGAACCTTCTTGAAGGTTGGGATATTGTAAATATTTTTATCAGAGTCAATGTTAAGTAGTTGTTTTAAAAAAATAATAAAATTATTTTCCTGTGGAACGAGTACAGTTTCTATTTATGTCTGAGGGACGTCCTAATTGCAATTACATATTATACAAATACTAATTATTATCAGCCACATCCTAAAACTGATTCTCCAGGAAAAATAGAAGGAACCTGATCCAAATTAAGTAAGCATTCTTGAATGGAAGCTGACTTTGCCTTAGTAGAGTTAAACAGGACAAGCCGTTATCAAGTCGTTAATAAAATAGAACATCAGAGTCCAATTTAAGAAAGTATTCTTAAATCTGGTCTTGATTTTAGGTGGCCACGTACCCTTCTTTACAAAGGAAATTTCTATTTGAAAGTGTCCTTGCTTTTAAGCCTAGTTTAGTCCAAGTTCTATATAAGGAAGAAGCACCACAAGAAAAGAGAACAAGATCCTTGGATTATCCAGTCCACAGCTAGCAAATCAGCACCTGATTGGCAAATCGAGCAAGCAACACAGGACATTTCAGGTCAATGTCTTTTGCCATGGTGAGATGTATGTTTGGTCCAATAATAACACCGTACGACACACACCAGTATCTGTTGAGCCATTATCTATGGATTCATTTATCCACATCTTACAAAACATGTCCTCTCTTGCCATTTTCTAGATCCTTCATCATGACTGTATGGTATTTTTAGACCAAAAGTCCTTCATTTCAACAGGGCTTGCTATTTGCAACATCCATACAAAGTTTTGAGTATATGTCCCCTCGGATACAGGAGTCATGGACAATTTATAAGGTGTATCTGTACATATACTTTGGTCACATAATGAGAAGACAAGAAAGATTGGAGGAAATGATGCTGGGGAAAATGAAAGGGAAAATGAAAGGAAAAAGGAAGAGGGGCCGACCAAGGGCAAGATGGATGGATGGTATCCTTGAAGTGACTGGCTTGACCTTGAAGGAACTGGGGGTGGTGACAGCTGACAGGGAGCTGTGGCTTGGGCTGGTCCATGAGGCCGCAAAGAGTTGGAAATGCCTGAACAAATAAATAACAACACCACCACCACATATAACTGAGCAGATCTGATGCAGGTCTGTAGGGGTTTGTCCTCTGTTTTGATGATGATGCATAAGGAGCTGAGCTCTACATTTGTGCTACCTGTACTCAACAAGGAAGGGGGCTAAGGCCACAACAGGCCATCCAGCCATGAGATCAGGAGAAGTGATATCACCAGCAAGCCTCTGCAAAAAAGCTGCTCTTGGACACAATGATGGCCTCAATGCATCCTTGGCCTGTCCAGTCTTCTGGACACCAAAAAGGACTCCAGATCAATTGAGTAAGAGTCGATATGGCAATGCTCTCTCAGACTCAAAGGAAAGCAATAACAAATCTACTCTGAACAAATCTTGCCAAGAAAACCCCATCATATGATTGCCTTATGACTGTGAAAAGTTGGAAAACACTTGAAGGCATGCCCTCAATGACAACAGCAGCAGCAGAAGAAGACATTTTACTGGACACCTGGGAGACAATGAAGGGGAAAGAAGCAAGAGTGGCTTTTTCAGTGGCTGGAGGAAATTCCAGTCAGCAATTATCTCCCAGGATGAAGGACTCTTTAACCCAGTAGCTGCTATGACAACCACAAGGAATGGCCAACGAAACTGCCCCGGGAGAGCTGGGATTTCATCATGTCCTATCATCATCATCTGCTTTCCTGAAGAGCTGGAAAGTACCATTTTTGTGGACATTGGAAGTCTAAGTTTCTCACTGACTTCAAAACTTCTTGAAAAAAAACAGGGATGTGCTATCATTTTCTGGACTATAAAGTGGGTTTTGAACAAGGTTTCTGGGATATTTAGTTTGATTTCCACCCCCCTCCTCCCATAGATCTCCAGTGCACAGTCAGAAGCAGTGCACAGATTAGAAGGCTGGAGACATCATCATGTAGTACTGCAGATATCTAAAGGATAAATCTCCATTGATCCATGCAGCTGCTGGTTTAGGGGACAACATACAGTTATGTATTCATAATTATGTCAGTGAGGTAGGAGATTCACCCTTTGACTAATAATAATAATAATAATAATAATAATAATAATAATAATGTCAAATTACTCTGGGACTTCTGAATTCAGACTGACAGAGTTTTGGAGCACAATACTCCAGACCTCACAATCATGTTAAAAAACAAAATATGGATCGTTGATGTTGCAATCCCAGGTGACAGCAGGATTGAAGAGAAACAACTAGAAAAGCTGACACGATATGAGGATTTAAGGATCAAACTACAAAGATTCTGGCACAAGCTAGTCAAGGTGGTCCCAGTGGTGATTGGCACACTGGGTGCAGTGCCTAAAGACCTTGGCCTGCACTTAAACACAATCAGCGCTGACAAAATTACCACCTGCCAGCTGCAGAAGGCCACCTTACTGCGATCTGCATGCATTATTTGCCGATACATCACACAGTTCTAGACACTTGGGAAGTGTCCGACATGTGGTCCAATACAGCTGCTCTATTACCCATAACAAGAATGTCATCAAACTAAATATCCCAGAAACCTTGTTCAAAACCCACTTTATAGTCCAGAAAATGATAGCACATCCCTGTTTTTTTTTCAAGAAGTTTTGAAGTCAGTGAGAAATAGTTTTTGAATTTACACAGAAGCAGGGTTGGGCTTGGCTTGATATAGGTGACAGGCACATGCTTGGGCTTAAACAGTAGCCAACTGCCTATTTCCCAGGTCACCAGATTCTCCCTTAGGCTTTATGGCATGCCCCAACGCGTTGTCTGGGTGTAGTTGCTGCACACCTCTCTAAATAGAGCAATTCTGCTCTGGATTCATCTAGGCTTGAGGTTCATGTCCTTTTTCATTCTCTCTTGAAAATGCTGGAACTATTTGGTAAAGTTTGTTGTGAAGGTCAAACTGCAAATAAGAAATCCATTTCAAAAAGCTTGGACTGGATCTACACTGCCCTGTAATCCAGTTTCAGAATGTGGATTAACTGCAGTGATCTGGATTAGAGGGCAGTGTAGACTGATATAATCTAGAGCAATGCAGTTAATCTACATTCTGGATTATAGGGCAGTGTTGATTCAGCCTGTGTGTTCGATTTTTTTTTTCGTGCCATTTTAGAAAAATCACTGTGGCAACAAAAAATATCAAAATGATACTAGGCATGGTCTAGAAAGCTCTTAGCTGCACCTACTCGTGCTTTTGAAATGTTTCTTGGACCGGACCTTCTGCCTCAACCCACTTCTAAATTGGTTTGGAACTCCAGTAGGAATCATTTTATACCAAGCTAGTGGTGACAGTTGAAGGTTGATGATTGGCTTTCTACTTTTCAAAAACAGGAAAAGTCAAAAGTCATGCTGCCCATGCATGTGCCATTGGGTGTGCCTATGTAACTCCTGGGCTATGACCAACATGTTCCTCCCTTGGTTGAATAATAATAATAATAACAACAATAAAAAGGCTTCCAGCAAATAAATGTTTGGTTTTTTCTTCTCCTCCTCAAATCTACTTGAAATATTTCAAATATCTGAAATATTCCACTAGTAATCCTCACTGAACACAGTGGTGCACATAAACGAATGTTTGCAGAATGACAATTTTAGCCATTTTTAATGAGTTCTAGCCTGTCCAGAGGGTTATTCTTGCTTTCTCCAGTTAAAATAAACTCACATGACTGCTTCCAGGCTTAGGGCTGGAGTCTTAGTGCTGTAGTTGTTGCTGCGGCCATTCTTATCACTAAGCCCTGTGTAGACTTATCTGATAAACACGTAATTGGATTTAGTGCTGCTGACTTCTGAATAATAATCACTTGCAGAATGGTGCAGTGCAATGATATCAATCCTATTTTACAATCCTATTCAGATTTTCCTGGGAGCAAGCCACTTTAAATGAATTTTGGTAAAGATAAAAGTTTCCCCTGACATTAAGTCTAGTTGTGTCCGACTCTGGGAGGTGGTGCTCATCTCCATTTGTAAGCCGAGGAGCCGGCATTGTCTGTAGGTGCCTCCAAGGTCATGTGGCCGGCATGACTGGAGTGCCGTTACCTTTCTGCAGTAGCAGTACCTATTGATCTACTCATATTTGTATGTTTTTGAACTGCAAGGATGGCAGAAGCTGGGCCTAACAGCAGGAGCTCACCCCGCTCCCTGGATTTGAGCGACCAACCTTTTGCTCAGCAAGTTCAGCAGCACAGCAGTTTAACCTGTTGAGCCACCGGGGGGGCCTTAAATGAATTTACCTTTGAGTATTTGGCCATAGAAATTTGATCTCAAGATGCATCTACACTGTAGCATTAATGTGGTTTAAAACCACTTCAACTGCCATGACTCAGTGCTATGGAATCCTTGGATTGCTGGTTCAATATGACATCTATACACTTGGCAGAGAAGGCTAAAGACTGTGTGAAATAATAACTCCCATGATTTCAAGACATAGCGCTGTTGCAGTTAAAGTGGTGTTGAACTGCATCAATTCTACAGTGTATGTGCACCCTTAATTATTTATTTTATTTATTTATTTAGAACTTTTGTATCCCGTTCTGCTCTACCTCCATGGAGGGACCCAGAATGGCTAACAGCAAAATTCAATGCTATACAATAAATAATGTCACAAAACAAGATACAATAAATAAGTTCTAAAATACATATAAAAACAGTTAATCACATTAAAAACAACATCCAACTCAGTCCAAAACGCTGTGGCCAAATAACTGTTATTCTATATCAAATCATCCGTCAATCTGCAAATGCCTGACTCCAAAGCCAGGATGACAGGAATGACAGGAGAGAGGGGGCAGACCTAATCTCACCAGGGAGAGAGTTCCATAGCCAGGGGGAAGGCCCTGTCTCTCGTCCCCACCAAACGTGTCTGCGAAGATGGTGGGACCGAGAGCAGGGCCTCTCCGAAAGATCTTAAAGTCCTTTATGGTTTATAGGGGAAGATACGTTCAGACAGGAAAACTGGGCCTGAGCCATGTAGGGTCTTGTAGCTTAAAACCAGCACTTTGAATTGTGCTCGGAAGCTAATTGGCAGCCAATGGAGCTGGTGT